TAGTACTAGATTAGTAGTATTCCTTATATGGTGTCATTTGTCCATGGTGGGGGAAGCGTGTGGTGGGGAAGAGGACATATGTTCTAAATGTCCATGAATTGCATCGCTGGTACACACCATGTCCTCTGCTTTTTATTTCTCATGTGTTACTAATTATATAAACACAAACATACACACACCCAACTGAATGCAGCATCTTTTGACCATGCAGAACTATTTTAAGTGCTTTTGTTTCCTCTTTGTTTTTCAATTATTTGGCACCTTCATGTGTGTTCAGTATAATTAATGGAAAGTAACATAAGAAAATAAAGTGTCTAATTAAGGACTACAGGAAATGTTATTCCCTTGTGCAAGTTGGGCTTCAATTTGGGTTATTAGAACTGGCTGCTGGCCTTTTGTCTCAGGAATTTGTTTTGTTGAACAGTTTTGCTTTTTTCAGATGAATGTTGCTGTTGCTTTTATTTTCCTAATACAGGAAGTAGTAATTCCCTTTATTATATTAAGCTGTTTCCTTTTTAAGACACATTTGCAAGCTGGGTCTGCACATTTCCTTTGTCACGCCCATCTTATACATTGTGCATGTGCTTCCTGAAGCCGTTTGTGCGTTGATGGAAACTATTAGCCTGTTGTGGCAGCCTGGCCAGGGAAAGGTTACTTGGTCTGAAAACACCCTTTCATCCACAGAGAACCTTCCAGTGACAGGAATGACACCGCGCAATGCTAATATGCAGTGATCTCCACAGACAGTCTGAGTGAAGGACAGAGCGGTTGAGGTTTAGAAGCAGAAGAATGCTTTGGAGTTTTCAATTCTGGCCATGGATTTAAATGTGGCTCCCATCAGCCAGCAGTTGGAAATAGTTCTGTCTGATGGTTGCCTCTTCACACACAGCCCCTGGAGCTCTTGTGTTCATTTTGCCTGAGCATGTGTTCATGTCATTCAGAAAATGCTGTCGCTCCGGACTTCTGCAGAGGCTAAAGCGTCAAGTGGTTTGTTTTTGTTTTGTTTTGTTTTGTTTTTTTGTTTTTTTGTTTTTGTTTTATTCTAAATTGTGGACTTCAAAATAATCTGAAAAATTCATTTCCAACCTTCCAAACCCCTAACTCCCTTAGCCATTTACCCACTCCCCTTGGTCCCTGGTTGAGGCAAGAGAGTTTTCCTCCATCCTACAGAATGCCGTGCATGGGACAGTCACACCAGAAACTAATTTTCAGGTGAGACTGGGACATGCGTGAACCCGAAAACTTTCTTTTCATCTCTTTCTCTCAGCATACGCCGTCTTTCCTAAGAAACAAGCTTTTTGTGTGGCTCTGCCTTTTGTCTGTTTGATTTCACGTTGTGTGATCTACAAGTCCTACTTTAGACTTGCCCATTTCATTGTTCTAAAACTGACCATGCTGGTGAGTATATAACTCTCTGAATATATTGTAAGTCTTTGACTTACAACTTTAGAAATGTTTGAATTCTGTATCTCAGATAAGCTGATGTGCGTGTGAACACAATATTTTCCTCCATTCAAAATTCTCAAAGCAAATAAATAAGCTGATGTGCATCCTGTTAATTTTTCCTGTGGTTTTATAAATCTTTTCATAGTATTCCCCTGAACCTTTAAATTTCTTAGCTAAATAGATCTATTATTATTGGCATTATATACATAGAAATTTCAACCTACATATTTAGCACTTCCCAAGCTGCAGAAACTAAATTATCATAAGGACAATAGTAATGAAGGAAGAGAAGAGCAATTGTCACAGGAATTATTAATAGTGATTAAAGTAGCAATTGGAGCTGCGGCCATTCTGTTGGGAAAGCACAATAGTGTCTTAAGTGTGACTGTGGTGACAGGGAGCCAACAATTGAGTCCCTGCTAATGGCCCAACAGGGGAAGGGCTTGCAAAGAAGCAGTGAGTGGTTTACATTACAATGGGATTGTCTGAGAGCTGCTCAAGTGTGGTCAGGAGGGGAGGTGGGCTGGAGACAGGAGGGATGATAACCATGGAACTGTCAAGGGCATCTTGGGGCTTTCGACAAGGGCTGTGGCAGCTAGACGCAGCCCACTGAAGCAGACATGTCCACGGGCTGCCCAATGTTGATTGACAAAAAGGAAACACAATGAGAAGATAATTGAGCGAACCAGGAGGCCTGGACAAGTGTCATAGGATCTGAAAGTGAGTCCTGGGAGCCATCAGAACATTGGCTGAAAATACTCCTGCCTTCACTCTGATCAGAGCTGAACCATTCTATGGAGAATAAAGCTTCTCTTAGAGTGTGTGTGTGTGTGTGTGTGTGTGTGTGTGTGTGTGTGTGTGTGTGTGTGTGTGTTGCCTTGATTGGCAAATGTATTGAAAAATAAATTGCCCTTGACATCAGATGAACTTGCACTTTGGGTTGCACATTTCCAACAGACAGCATACCCACACATTTTCACACTGCTTTTACTGCACGTTTGGGTGTATAAGGCAAAACCATCTAGAGCACTGTCCAGATCCATTGTGCCATTTGTTCTAATCCTGTCCCTTGTGGCATTTTCCCCCTCCTAGCCCGGGCTGCAGCCAATGACCATGTATTGTGCGTAGTTGTCATGCATTAGGGAAACAGAGCACAAAAGTTTGAGGGAACAAAGGAAGCGAAATGGCCAGTGTGGACAAGCGAGTAAAGAAATGTCCTCCCTGTGAGGCACTGCTGGCCACATCAGTGCGTCTGCTAAGACTTACACTCTTGCCAATGACATCGCAGCCCCAGTGGTTTCTTCACACAGGACAAGCTGTTCGGACCTTTGGGCCTTGGTATTCAAGCTTCTCTTCTCACCAAGTTGTACATGACTTGGCTTCTTCTTTTCCAAGTTGTTCATGACTGCCATCTCCAAGAGAGGACATCCCATTCACTGAAATAATGATCTGATCATTTTCTGTCTCCTTGTTTAAATGATCTGTCTGGGCACATCACTTGCTGACAATTTTTCTTTTCCCCAGTATCCGAAATATCCCAAACAAAATCTTACACATGGTAGACACTCAAAAACCATTAGTTGAACGAATGTACCGATTTAATGTCCAGAAGCAGGGAGTCATTAAAGATAATGGCAATGCTGCGCAGACAGGCTTTATGCAATAAAATACTTCAGAGCTTAAATCAAGGGACGAAGACTCAGTGAAGAGACCTGGGGTTAGCGGGATGGCTCACAAGTAAAGGCACTGGCTGCCAAGCTTGACAGGGTGAGTTTGATCCCTGGAACCCATGGGGTGGAAAGAGAGAACTGCTTCTTTCAGTTGTCCTCTGCCCTACACAAATGCGCCCAGGCATACCCATACCCCCATGTACAAAAGATATCAATGCATTAAAAAAAAGTTTAAAACCTTGATAGGACATTAGAATATTGGTGAGTGAATGTACACTCATATATTTTAATTTAATATTAAATGTTCACAACATGGAAAATACGTTTTATATTTTTCAGCTCTAACCTACTTTTATACACGATGTTGGTTAAGAAGGTACACATACCATAGTCAGACTGTAAATGCAACTTAGCATAAAAGGATATTCTTAAATCTGGAGTGCCCGGTGAAGTTGTGTGGAAGCAGCAGTAATTGATTGTGGCTTTGAAAGGACTCCAGATTTCTGAGGGTGAACAAGTAGGGAGAACAAAGATTGGACGGGAACAATAAGCGAGCTGGGGACCCCGAGGAGCCAGCTCCAACTGAATAGAAAGTGCATGGTTTGCAGATAAGGAGAAGCAGCCGGAGCGAGGGAAGGAAGCATCGCGTTTTTAGATTACTTAAAATCAAGCAGAGAGGCATGGAGAAAAATAAGGAACTATTATAAATTCTTGACAACAAGGGTAGTATGATGACATGGGTATTTTAGGAAAATTACTCAGCATGGGGAGTGAAACTAGGCTGGCAGTTGGGGATGTAACACCAGTATCCATCTGGTGTCCGGGGCAGACTCCAAAGTCAACCTTAGCTATGCTTTGCCTGGACACAGCCTTAGTGAGTATCTTCTCCCAGGCCTCCAGGCAGCCATCGCTAATCAATCTGCACTGGCCCTGAAGCCGGCCTGCCTCCCTCTGCGTGTCATAGTGGAGAAATGAACACAGGCATGAGGGTAGAAACGCCAGGGAGGCCCAGCAGATAAGAGCCTGGACTTTAATAGTTCTGAGAATGTAAGAAGGATAAAAATCTTGAGATACTCCTGTTGTGTTGGTAGGTTTGTGTTTTAGCTAGGGCCCAAAATAGAAGTCGTTCTGTGTACGTCTTTATTCATTGTTAAAGAAATGTTTGCTTTCTCTTTCTGGATCTCTGCTGTTGGTGTGCAGTTTGTAAGGACTTGCTTCTTTAAAACAAAAACTTCCCTTAAATATTTAATGAACTTTGAAAACAGTAACTCTAGCAAATGATGTGCCAACCAAAACAAACAAAAAAATGGCTATTGCCTGTTTTTAATCTACAAAGACTTGGGGAGGCACCTGCTCTGTCCCTCCGTGGGCGTTAAGCTGTCAAAATAAGTTAAGATGCTATTTTGGTTTTTTTTTTCTAAAAAAAATAGATTTTTGTTATTCACTATTTTTTTTAAACTGGCTTTTACATTGCAAGATAGCAAACACAATTAAAATAAGATGCAGTTGTCTCAGCTCGGGTGGCAGCAGGGAAGCCTTTGCTATATCCGAGTGTGTGCTTCAGGCACAACAGTGTCCGTCTTAGCCACGTGCTGTCCTTGGAAAGTGAAGCTCACAGTGACCAAAAGGCCTTTTCTGAATAACTTATCCCCAAATGGGAAACATAAATCAGTGGCAAATCAACCCTCCCTTGTAGGCTGTAGTTCTGGGGTCTGTGGAGAACATTGTTGCCTTACCCTGGACAATTTCACCTGTGTCCTCTTGAGCTGCACAACCTCCGGCCCCGGGTGTGGTTGTGGCAGGGGGATGTTTTTACTGATGACTTTTCTTTAACATTCTCTTGTGTTCCTATTTCTTTCTTTCTGTCTGTGGCTTATGATGAAGAGCTTACAAGACCCCATGAAAAAGCTAGTTGAGAAGGAAGGGAAAAAGAACACGCCGCGGAGGGAAAACCCGGAGGCTGCGTCGCAGGAGCCGAGGCAGTAAGTTCGGGGGCCCTTCATCTTGATGCATGCGTCCTTCTCACAGGTAAGGGTAGTGCAGTACACATAGCCAAGCCCAGGAGACGCCACCGACACACAGGGGTCACCATGTCCTCACCACCCTCCTGCCTTGTGAGGGGCTTAGAGTCTGGAAAGGCAGGTGTCCTGTGCGCCATGTCCTTTCTGGTTTGTGACCATTGTCATCGACAGTCACATCCTAGACGGGACCCCCCCACACACACCTTTTCTCATCTAGAAGTCTACGGTTTATGCAATTGTTTAGCCATGCGTGTAGTCTAAAAATGAGTGGGATTGTGGCTTTTTCCTCTCACTGCTCTCAGGCTTTCCTTTCCGCTCTCCTCTCTGAAGCAGAGGCTAGCCCAGAGTACAGGAAGTGGCTCCCCTGCCTCCATGTCTCCCCTTCCATCCTTTAGAAACTCGGCGAATTTGCAGTGTGGCATTGTCTACGGAGATGAGCAGCCTGTGGAATGCAGTTGCTCTGGACTGACTGACCCAGGAAAGCACAGGAACCCATTATTCCCCATCCTATTATTCCCTGTCCACACACCTCCAAAATCTAGATGACAGCCTTGTGGCTAGACAAGCCGACATTTTCAATGTAGTTCTAAGACACTTTTGGACGTTTTTAGTGCCATAGAAATATTTGCTCCCAACATTATCCCCTTTTTAATTTTTAAGAAAACCCTAAAACATTTCTCTGGTGCAGAACATAGACAAGTTTTCATAGTTGAACAGACTATAGGCTGCGGTGTGGTTCTGCACAATGGCTTCCTGGCAAGGGCATCTAGTGACTGCCTGCTGCCTGCTGGCCAATATAGGTGCTCTCCATGGAGCCCCTTCACACACTAATCCTCTGTGTAATCGCTTTACCCATGCACACATTGTTAGAGGATGGATTGAGGCTTGGGGAAGGTACAGTACTCTGGGAACCCCATGAGAGGCCGCACCAGAGTAAGTCCCGCAGAACTTTGGATCGTGTAAGTGAATGCAGTCCAAAGAAAGCACTAGAAGATAACTACACAGGACTTTCTTGACGTGTTGACTTTCACAAATTCAGTTTTCTCAAATCTTAACACTTCTTCTTGAGCGCTCACCAGTCACTATTTTAAATTGACAGTGAAAAGAGAAAAATTAGGAGGAATTTTGTTCAGACATAGCAGATATAAGCTAGGAAGCACCAAGTGAGCGTAAGCGTGGTGAAGGATCTGTACAGTCCTGGGACTGGCCTATTCTGATGAGCAGGTATGTCTGTGGGTTTGGGGGTGACCTTGCCCTCAGCCTTCTGTGTAGTTCAGCCTCTCCTTTAGTACCAGCAGTCAGGGTTAAGCATTGCCTAGCCATCCCTTTCGATAGCCTTTCACAGTGGTAGGTAGCTATGTGACTGCATGGCAGTTATCCCTAACTGCCCATCAGGATGTCTGGTGAAGCCATGCTCATGGATGAAGATGCTGTAGAATGTTGCAAAAAGCAAGTGGTGCTGTTTCTTCCTGAGAACATAGATGCCTCTCTGTATCTCCCTCTCTCTTCCCCTACCCCTGTTGTGTGGGGGGAGGGGTGGGTTGTTGAAAGTGAAGGAATAGATGTTGCACCACACACACAGCTATACCATAAATATGAATTTGCAGAAGTGTGTAACTCGGCCTTCCTTTTATTTTAAGGTTAATTTCTTTGGAGGATGAGAACCAGCACAAAGAATCTTCCACTTGTCAGGGTAAGTTTTAATTTCTATTTAAATTGCTTCAGAGACCCTACTGTAATGTACAACCACCAACTTGTTTCTCTTTTTGGTAAATTTACCTCTTGGCTGCTTTCTTTGCCGTCTTAAGAAAAGACTCTATTGACTTGCTTCCTGTAGTCTAGATGTCAGTGATGTCCGCCCTTTAGCAGTGCCAAGAGACTTCGTGTAGTTTGAATCAGAAACTGCCATCTTGCGTGATGTCAGCACCCTCAGATTCCCAAACTGCTCTGAGTAGCCCTAGCTCCGGGTCTTGATGCAATCTTAATATCACATCCTGGGTGAGGCCTGGGGTGATTTGTGGGCGTTCCTCACTGCTGGAGACAGGAGAGCTCAGGCTTTGCCCTTCCAAGTGAATCCAAGGACCACATTAGGGAGTGGTGCCAGTTCCCTCAAGGTAAACTGAAGCCTGCCTTAGGAGGGGGCTCTGCACCTTGGGAGGTGGCACTCTGATGTGGCATTCTGCTGCCTCCAGCTCCTGCCCTGCTGCCAGATTTTTTTGTTGGTTCCTTACCAGAAAGATACAGAGTGTGGGAAATCATGGTAAAATCGATATGTCACAATGCTGAACCCTTCACCAGGAGTTAAAATCTTCATAGACAGAAAGGTGGTTTACATTATATAGGTCACTAAAGATGTTATGTTCATAACAAAAGTCACAGGCCCTCCCTGGGACACACTCGCATCTTCCCTGCCTTGAGTGAGGCTAGGGAAGCCTGCCCAGGAAAGAAGACATGTTAAGCAACTCCTAGAACTTTCCTTCTGCTTCATTCTTCTTCCTTCCTACTTTTCCAACCACTTGACACACCCTCATCCCCCCCTTTACTCCTTCCTTTTCTATTTTCAGTCTGCCTTTCAGTAGAAAATAGGAAATAAAAAACCAGGTAGGTGTGGGTGATACATGCCTCTAAAATACATCTGTGCTTGGGAGGCAGAGGCAAAAAGAGCATTGGAAAGAAATTAAAGGTCATCTTCAGATGATTTTTACTTCTGAGATGTTTAATAGCACTGCTTCTGTGGCAGAGAGCTGCACCAGCTAACACTACCCACCACACACAGCCAGACCTTCCTGGAATGAGGCTCGCAGCCCACAGGAGAAGCAGATGGTGGCAACTGCTCCCATCTCCAGCTGTTACAATGTTGGTGAGAGTTACCCAGGAGAAGGGCCGCACTCTGGGTGTGTGTTACGGGGGCCTCACTTAATTGAGGGAATCAGGGGAACAAGCTAAAGCCAATTGCTCTTGTAAGACTTGTCACAGGAAAAGATAGAGCCTGCACAAAGGAATGAGCCAGGATGAAACAGGTGACATCAGAAAAGCAACATTCTAGAGTCTGAGGAAAAGTTAGTAGTGGAGAGGCGGAGCCTGATTTTGTCACCCTAGAAGAGCTGTCTGGATTGATCTAGAATGCCAGCCTCCATGCCCCTCTGTGAACCTATGGCATTAAACCATCAATGTTGTATGGGAATCAAGGTCACAGAGTAGAACATACTTAGTTCTTCAGAAAAGTGTGAACTCTGATTTATTATATTCATATAAAAGCTTCAAACCTATATGACTTATACAGATTTGTACAGTATGTGACTATAGAAAAGAGAATGCCAGTTTTCCTCTTTCCTTGTATAATTTAACTGGGTGTGATATTTGCATAATATTTTGAGATTGTGAATCCACTATGACGAAGTGGCATCTGTCCTTTATTCTGGAACCTTATAGAAGGTCTGGTGAACATATGACCAAACTGAGGTTGAGGCTGTCCTATCACGTGTGTGCGCATGCATGTCTACCCACGTGTTATTGCTTAGTTATTGCTTATTGTGAGCCACAGTTAGTTCACAGCATAACCGAGTTCAAGGCACAGAGGTTTCCCATGTGCCTTTGCCCCCACGTATGCTACTCGTCACTATCAATGTCCTATACCAGCGCGGCGTTTGTATAACCAATGAGCCTAAACAGAAACACCCTTTACCACCCCAAGTCCACAGCTGACATAGCATTCACTTCTAGTGTTCTATATCCGATGGGTATTATAAATATGAAATGACCTGTTTCTTCCATTAAAGTGTCATGCAAAATATTAGCTGCTTCCAAGCCTCTGTCACCACCTACTCACCTCCTTACCCATGCCCTTAGCATCCACTGGTCTTTTTATTGTCTCTGCAACTTTCCTCGGAATTAGCGAATACAAGGTTTGCAGTCTTTAAAAAAATGATCCTTTATTGAGAATTCAATATTCCGTTTTTCATTTAGCCAGGCCCATATGGTTAAAATTTGTTAGTGATACCAAGTAATAATCGATTACTTCAGTCATTCACTTTTCCATGGGTGGAAAATAGATCAGTATAGTAAAATATTGTGTAAGTTATCTGCCAAACAAGAGATTCATTGGATATTTGGAATTTAAATTTAATTAATTAACTTGCAATTCCAAATTTAAGTTCACTGAGAGCCAGCAGCTGCAGTGAAAGGTAAACTGAGGACCACTGCTTTGTATGAGAGTCTAGATTGTTTATCCTTTCTGACAGTGTACTTTACCTCACACACAGTATATAAAAATGTACTGCTGTGGGCTGGTCATAACTAACTACGTATGTTGTATTTCAGCTGAAGATGGGAAAAGTATCTTGTCTTCTAGAGACAAAAGCTCCGCACCTGATGCATGCTCAGGTAATCTAAAGGCAGACTTCCCACTTTTAATAATTTACTCAAACTCCAAAGGAAATGGAACTAGCTGATAATTTATTTTCTTTCTCCTCTCTTAAGGACCAATAGATGAACTATTAGATATGAAACCTGTAGAAGGTAAGATTTATATATTCTTTGAACTTTATAATTCGATTAAATTTTAAAGTTCTCTCTTTTTTGGTGGAAGAAAATTCAATAGTTACCTTCTTAATAGCTTTCTAGTCATAAACAAAATTTTAGGTAGCATCCATTATAAATTACCTTACTTATGCTCAAGCAATACATAATATATATGTTATTATTGTTTAATTAGACAATGCCTTTAATCTGAAAATTATAACAAAGGTACTATGTTGTTAGAGAAAATGTAACTTTCCAAATGAGTTACATGTGGATTTTGAATTTTGATCCTCCCGTCCATGATCTTGAGTAATTTGCTTCATATACAAACTCTGTAAGCCCCAGGTGTTCTTGCCTATAAAATGGAACCAAACACAGCAGCCTCTCCAGGTAACCATCAGGAATGGAAATAAACTATAAAAGGCTATTTTGTCGTTTCTGGTGCAGGGATTCTCTTGGAATGATGACTCCTAGAGAAAGGAGGAATTAGCAATTTTCTCTAGATGGTATACTATGCCGTATGTTCATTGAAACTTAATAAACCAGACTTGGATATCTTATGCTGACTACTAAATATCCACCTAAAAGAGAGCCCAGAATCCTGTATTTAGACGATACTTATGGTACTGAGTGGCCTAAGAAAACTGAATAGTTTTAGCGTAATCCTAGCCTTTGCTTTTTCATCCAAACAAAGGTTTCCTTTTAATGATTTAAGAAGAGTCCAAAATGCCCCCGAGACTCTGAGCCAAACATCAGACCATCCCTTGACCTGAAGATTGGCATTCTGCCTTGATTATACCAGTTTCTTACAGCAGAGAAGCTGACCCAAGCCACCCTGTGGACCTCAGTTAACCAGGTTCAACTCAGTCTGAACTTAACCTTCTAGACTGTGTGTTGTTGTGACAGATGCTTGAGAGAAGAGTTTGAAGGAAGAAAGATTTATCGTGGCTCATGGGTCCAGTCCATGGTCTGCTGGCTTTTTAACTCTGTGGCAAGTTGGAAACATCACGGAGGAAGGGCAAGGTGGAAAAAAGCTGCTCGCCTCATAGAAGCCCGAAAGCAGATTAACAGGAAGGAACCAGCATCAAGGCACGCCCCCAGCCAGCCACTTCCTCCAACTCAGTCCTTCCATGGTTCCACCACCTCCCAATTGTCTACTTAAAATTTGACTCTATCAGTAGGTCAACTTGGTTAGGCAAAGCCCACATGGTCTAGTTTCCTCTGAAACACAGATACTCCTAGAGGTGTACTTAATCATCTCCTAAGTGTCTCTCAGTCTTGTCAAGTGAAAACTCAATGTTAAGCTGGGCAGGGGTGGTGCACAACTTTAATCCCAGCACTGGGGAGGCAGAGGCAGGTAGATCTCTGTGAGTTTGAGGCAAGCCTGGACTACAGAACAGAGTTCCAAGACAGGCTTCAAAGTTCCACAGAGAAGCCCTGTCTCAAACAAACAAACAAAAAGACCCACAAGCCCCAGCATCAAGGTATGGGCTGAATCCACAAAGTATTAGAGAAAAATAATCTTGTAACAATACAGTCATCACAGTTTTGCCATGAACTTCCCAGGCCTTGGGAATATAGACCCAAAGGCGGGAGTCTCCATGCCTTATTAATGTCTTACTGAGGGCATCATGCTATGCAATATTTCATCAAAGTCATGTGAGATTAATAAACTAGAGACCTGTAGCATGAATAATAAAAGCCCAGAGACAGATATTGGGTTTCAAGCAGAAGATCAGAAAAGCAAAGCAGCCAAGCCACTAGAGACCTCTTACCTATACCAAGGCACAGACCAAAGCAGAAGCAGTCCTATCCTCAGAGTGTCTGCAGACTGCTCTCCACCAAACCTCAGGCTGCACTGCGCTGAGCTCCTGCCTTATATTCTCACTAGTGCTGGGATTAAAGGTGTGTCATCCCCCCCGTGCTGGGATCAAAGGTGTCAGATGTTTCTCTTTTAGACTGATTGAATTTCGTGAAGCCCAGGTTGCCCTTGAACTCACAGAGATCCGTCTGCCTCTGTCTCCCAAGTGCTGGGATTGAAGGTGTGGCCGCCACTGCCTGTCCTCTATGGCTGACTAGTGACTTAGTGTGTGTGTGTGTGTGTGTGTGTGTGTGTGTGTGTGTGAGTGAGTGAGTGTGTGGCTAACTACTGGCTTAGCTCTGCCCTCTGATCTTCAGGCAAGTTTTATTTGTTAGATTACAAATAAAATATCACTTACAAAGCCATACCAAGTAATGAAATGAATAAGTAAAGAGTTAGTATGGGTTGCCATACATAACCCCCATTTTTGTAGGGACTTTCCCCCCTCAGATTTAAGAATAAAACATTTTAATGGAATAGAAAATATCCTTTATAAATTATTTTGGAGTACTGAAGTATTCTAATCTTACCAAAATGACATGAGAATAGCATAACAAGCCCTAAGTATCTACCACCCAGTTTCCACAACTCTTAACGTTTACTGTTTTCATAATTATATGCATGCACCATCCTATTTTAACGTTTACTGTTTTCATAATTATACGCATGCACCATCCTATTTTGATGGATTGATATTCCTTTCAACCCCAGCATCTCGTTTATGTTGTTTCTTTGTTTACAACTCTTAAGTTTATTATTTTAGTAGACGTGATTTTTGAATAGGTAGTACGTTTGCACTAGTATATAAGATAATAAGATATTATATTTTAAGAGCTCACCCCATTTCTGCACACAGGCACACACTCCATTTTGACAACAAAGTGCCCCTCCTCCACCCCCATCCTCCTGAAGCTTTTGTGCTCAGGCACAGAAAATGGGAGTCCATGTGCTTGCTTCCTCTCCCTTTATAAGGGGTAAAAAAGATGCAGGGCTTTATAGAAAGTTTTTTTTTAATTGATAGACTGCTACAACCTTAGCCCCAGAGCCAGAATTTCTTCAGAGAACTGAACCGGGAATGCATCACCTATTATGTCTGCTGGCCTTTGCCGGCTCCCGAGTATGCCAGGGCCCATTGGATGAAGATTGACATTTACGTATTGAGAGCAAGTTTCATGCCCCATTGCTTCTAGGTCTAAAGATGAGGCTGAATGTGCTCTTCCCTAATACAAGTACTAGTTCTCTGTCAGAAAGATGGAGTTGCAGATGTTCCCCATCACCCTGTCCCTTTATCAGTACTGTCCCGTAGAGCCCTTTGGTGGGGGGGGGGGCTGTCCACTCTCTGCCTCTTCCATGTTTTCATTCCACAAGGTGGTGTCAGCTCTAAAACCACAAGTATAAAGAGGCTCTCAACACATGGAGAACTTGTGGTGACTAAAGAAAAAAAATGCCCACTGCTCTGTTCACTTCAAAATGCATGCCATTTAAAAACTGCCTCCTAAGTTCTGGATTAATGCTGGTTATAATACGCAAAACATTAGATGGGAAGAAATAAAAGCACTTAATCCAAGGACGGCTCACTTTATAAGACTTGGGAGTTCTAGCCCCAGCTCTGCCTTCTTCTGATAAATGATAAAGTAATAGAAAACCAATGCTTGACCACAGAGTATAAAACTATTTTAGTAAAAAAACGAGTGACAACCTGAGACGTTGAAAGTCACCATATGCCACACACGATACGTGACCTTCATTCATGAATTACAGCGTGTAGAAATCTTTGTGCCTCAAGTTGGAGCCTCCCCCCAAATAGCATACTACTGAGCGAAAAGATGCCATGGAAAGCAGAGGCCTTTACCAAAAACACAAAACAAAACTATTGTCCTTATTACAAACACGTGTTAGTCTTCTTCCTCTGTTACTGCCTGTGTTTCTAAATTCTGGCCAGATATAATGACGACAGGCCATTCAGCAGCTAACAGAGGTCTAGGTGAGAACCTTTAGCCCATAACAGTCATGTGTTATCCTACGGTGCCTAGCTTTTCCTGGGTCACTGAATTGTCACCTGACTATAAGTCATGCTTATAGTCAAATGAGAGATCTGATTGCTTTGCCTCAGGAGACACAGTGACTAAGTGCTAAATTCCTTATCTGCTCTCATACACTCCTCCTCCCCCTCAGCATTCTGGGAAATGCTGGTGACCTGGGTCACCCCATGAAATCATCATATACTTTTTCTTTACACATGTTAGGCAAGCGCTCTACCACTGAGCCACCCCCCACATACACACAGCCCAACAGTAGTACACTTTTAAAATAAAATACTGAAAGCAGGAGTGTGTCAGCAAACCTGTAATCCCAACACTCTGGAGGTAGAGAATTAAAGTTCAGGTTGTTCAAAGCCAACTTTGGCTGCATAACAAGTTTAAACCAGTGCAGTCCACATGAAACTCTGCTTAACAAAACCAAATAAATGATACATTTTCAGAATCGTGTAGTAGTGTGCTCTACATGGAATTGTTCCTATAGAGATTCTGAAAGACTTGGTCTAACCCTGTTGTGAGAGAGGTTAGTTGTTAATCTCTAATACTAGAGTTTAGCATGGGGTTTTAGCAATCAGGATTTCTGTGTATGCCAACTCAGGTCTGGCATTCTTAGGTTATTCTTTTGTTTTTTCAGAAAGCACATTTGGCTCCTCACCCCCACCCCCAACCCAGCCCCTGTCGGTTGGGATTTTTATTTATTATTATTTTTAAACCTGAAGGGAGTTTTTCAAACAAGGGAGAATTCCAAACAAGAACAATCTGTTAGCAGAGCCCGAAGAAATGTTTTTCTGTTTAGATGGTGTGTCGGGTGGTTTTCTGCCATCCTCCCCCTCTGTCCTTTGGGTGACAGGAGAGTAGTGTTGGTGTTTGGGGTTTTAGAGGCACTGCAGGCCTGTGGCCTTTAAGATTAGTCATTATGTGGGGTATGGGGAACAGGGAGAAACCCAGAGCAGCCCGTCTTCCTGTTTCACACAGGTGAAGGTAAATCAAGTGACATTTCTCTATTTCTTGTTCTGTGCTCTCGTTTTTTCTGTCTGTGTAGTTATTTCCATCTTCTGTGCCCCTAATTTATGCTGAGGTCATGAAACTCCTGTATGACTTCAAAAGCGCTATCTGAACCAGCTGTGGCCAGTTCTCCACGCTCTGCCTAAACTCAAGTTTCCTCCACATTCGAGCTCTTACAAGCTAGAACTCACCAGTTCAGGACCAGTTCCTCTAGGGAATGTTTCCCAGGCCCCAGGCTTCTTATTTCTGAGTGTTGAACAAGGCAGGCATATAGAGTGTTTCGGGTTTCCTTGGCCATTCTGCCTCTCTGTCTGCATGGTATTCGAAGAGCATTCTGCCCATAGAAAAGCCTCACGTGTTCACAAAACCCCTTCTTATATTAGTTTGTGTGTGAGATCTCAATCAATTCTCTGTCAGCATATGTGTGTGTGTGGGGGGGGTCTTCCTAAGTTCTGAAGGAAAGGCAATTGTCTTCTACAGAGAAAACACTGATTTGTGAGTCAAGGCTCCCAGGCCAGACCGTCTGTAACTAATAAATCACATGAATTTGGATGGGTAATCTAACCTGAGTCTATTTTTCCTCATCTGTAAAATGACTTTAAGGAAATAGTTTCTAAGATCTCTTTGGTAAATAAGTAAATAGTGGTTCTTCTCATTGAGATCAAATAACAAATTCCCAGGCAGTAAATCAGTATTAAACAGGGTACCTTGGCTAAATTATGGGCTTCCCAGGAGGCAGCATTGTTAGGTGGCCCAGTGGCACTTCAGTACTGGCAGAGCATGTGGAGATCCCTTGTGCCACCATTGGGAGAGGTACCGCTTTATGCTTGAGCTGTCCCAAGGAGCATGCGCAAGTTTTTGAACAAGGAGTGATCTCACCGTTGGCGTCCGCAAAGGTGCAGGGTAGGAGCCGTCTCCTGGAGCTGCAGCCGCCTTACCAGTGTGCAACCACAAAGGATAAGATAAGAATTTGTGGTCAGGAGTTGGAGAACTTGGATTGGAGACAGCCTTTGGAGACTCTAAGCCAAAGGAAGTTGTGGCCCACAACGCGGTAGCAGTCTTTGTTGGTCTTCGTGGGTGGACATTCTGACCAGGCTTCTCCCAAGGACATTATGGCATCTCCGTGGTTTTCTTTGTCTCTGGTTGAGTGGCACTGTTTTCAAAGAAGATAAGAGGAGCTCAGTTCTCCTGGGCCTACTGACAAGCTCAACTTCTCAAGTCCCAACTTGTCTGGTTATGGACCTAAACCAGTCCATTTGGGCTTGTAATTAAGTTTCTCTGACAAGTTATGCATAGTAATTTCAGGCATCTTAATTATCAGTGTAATAATCGGGAGGTTTCTGTGTTTTATGGTTCAAGTCAGTGCCAATTTCCTTGCTTTTAGCTACATAATAAGTTCTCTTACAAGAGCACGGTTCACTGTGCAGCCTGCTTTAACTATTTAATAGCCAGGGTGTGATGACTTTTTTATTTACAGCTTTTCTTCTCTGCAATTTTGTAATAATAAATTTTAAAACAGAGAAGTAAGCAGAATGCTAAATAATAGACCACATTCAATGGTGAACTTCAGTAGAGGTAAAACCTGAATCCATAACTGACCCCAGAGGACATTTTCTCAGTTCTGTGACTACCATGCCTGAGTTTGGTAGGTAAAGATTCACTTGCTTATAAGGACAGAAGCCTATGTTGAAAAGGGTTAGGTTTGAAATGCACGTGGCCATGTAACTGAGGGTGTTGAGCAGTTCATTGGTTCAAGCGAGACCCAGGGGCTGGCTGAGTGCTGTCAAAATTCCCTTTCTGGCTCTTTAGGTCATTTTCCTCAGGATATTGGCTTTGTTTTCACTAACAGCCTCTGATTTACTTCTTTGGATCAGAGAATCCCAAAGAAAGATGGGTCTTTTTCCATCCACCTTTCTTAGAGCAAATACAGGGAAGTCTGTAGCACGTGTCATTCCCCTGGTCAGTCACTGTGGCCTGAGAGATGGAGAACTTCAACCTGCTCAGACACACACACACACACACACACACACACACACACTCACACAATACACTCACACATACACTCACACACACATACTCACACACACTCACACACTCACACATACACTCACACACACTCACACTCACTCACACACTCATTCACACACACTCACACACATACACTCACACACATACTCACACTCACACACACTCACTCACACTCACTCACACACTCACACACACACTCACTCACACACACTCACACACTCACACACATACACTCACACACATACTCACACTCACACACATACTCACACACTCACACACATACACTCACACTCACACACATACTCACACACACTCACACACACACTCACTCACACACACTCACACACATACACACACACTCACTCACACACACACACACACACACACACTCACCCCGGAGTGGCGGCGGGTGATACGGTCTGCTGAGGGCATCTCACCAGGATCACAGAGGGAAAGTGCTTCTCAAGGAAAAACACCTGAAGGAAAGGAAAGGCTGCCAGTTAGCAGAAGCCACTGACATCTACGCTAAATACCAAGACATGAAACCTGAACGCTAAACATGAAATGGAAGTTTTATAATTGGCTTATGTGTAGAGGACTCCATGTTTATGGTCTGTAGTTCTGATGTCCTCTGTGACCTTTGGGGGATCCCAGCAACACCTCCCCAAGCCTGGCTTCCGAAATAGATCAAAATGAAATGACTGTCAAAGGAACAGGTCTTGCTAAAAGATTCACTTAAGGTCCCACTGAATAGGTGTCACTTAACATGGGTTTGGCTCGGTAATCATATGGCTTCAACCAGGCCCAAAAGAAACCAGGAGAAATGGTTCGGGTACTCCATTGTCACCAGGAAATAGGAAGTACAGAGGCTTGTAACCGCAGGTTAAGAGGACGAGTCTGGGAAAGACTGAAAGAGAGAATTCATCAGTAAATTCCTGTGTTAAGGGCCACACCTGATACTTTGCGGGTGCTGTTCTTCAAGCTTCTTCCTGTAGGCTGGGTACAGGAGAGCAGCTGTAGTGTACTCTCTGCCTGCCTTACCTACCTGCCCAGCCTGGTGGCTCCTCAGAGAAACCTCTTCACAGAACCAAGTTGCTGTCTTTTTCACCTAGTATGCCTACAGGCTATGTCTGTCTAGAAACATATGTCTTTGATAACATAAACAATAAAAATGCTTAAATTAGGCACTTGTCTGATTAAAGTGATGTTTTGCCACTATTTTAAAACCACAGCAATATGAGTTACTAGACTTTCCCCATCCCTGATTTATAGCCAGTCTGCTGAGTTCATAAAAAAATCCCCTTAATCTCTAGATCTTTATGTAATGTGGGTAAAAACAGATCCAGCAAAAGAACAGAAAGAAGCTTTATTTAAAACAATAACCTGATCGTCTCACTTGTCATGGTCATCAGAATTTCAGTGTTGCTCAGAAAAACATAGGAACCATGATGTTTTCCTTTGCTTCATGGCTTATAATAAGAAATGTTTCAGTTTGCAAGTGGCAATTAGATCCCACAAACAAAGCAACACTTAATACATCCCTCAGCCCTTGGTTCTTAAAATAGGGGCTTTCCATGGGATTTATGAGAGTCATGTCCCTATTTTCCTTGTAAATAATGTTCAGTGTTTGGTCAGTGTTCATCTAGGAGAATGGTTCTCTCTTTGTAGCCATCTGGACTGATGACTTGGTGTAGTATTCCCAGGTTCCTGACATTCCAAGCAGGCTATGGTGTCTACTGTAACCTCAGAGATGACTCATTGGAGCCTCAGAGGGTGACGGTCTACTGAAGGTGGGTTGGACCTGGACTCCCCTAGGTCTAGGGCTCATTGACACCTGTCAGTGCTTATGTCTGAGGCGCACGAGGTGAACCCCCTGCATCAGACCTGGACTTCCGACCTCCCTCCCCGTCACTCTCTGACGGCTCCTCTTAGGCAAGCAGACCCACCTTTCCTTACTTCTTGCTGCTGTTGTTGAAGAGACATCTGTCTTGGGTGTTGATGCTCTCCTGACATACTCCCCTGGGCCAGGGCGTGGTGAGGTTTCTCCCCAGCTTGGGTGGCAAGACAGGCTGCCACATGGTTTGCTTGCTGCTCCAGCCCAGGCAGCATGGATTGAGGGTTTGTGTGGGAAGATTTGGGAAGCCTTACAAACAAGGAGCTAAGATCACCAACAGCTTCCAGTCCTGGCTCCGTTTCAGACCTGGGGAATGTTTTGTCAGATCTGCTTTTATGTTGAGGGAAAACACAAGCCCTAGATAGTGCGTGTGTGTGTGTGTGTGTGTGTGTGTGTGTGTGTGTGTGTGTGTGTGTGTAAAATATTTCATTGCAATTCTAATAATGCTCAAAACTGGATTTGCTTTGGAAGAACGGGGACAAGGGAAGATAGAATTCAAAATCTGTTTCTGAAATCTGTTAATGAAGTGTCATGGGATACATTTCTATTCTGATTACCTTTTCTTATGTCTGGCCATCATTCGGTTTGTCCCAGCCTAGCCCCCATGACAGTTGTTCCTGAAACTCAAGCTCTCGGAAGTCATGTACTCTGTGTTCTTTCGCCTCCACCAGCTTGCCTGGGTTCCATGGCAGGGACCCCAGACGCAGAAGGTGTTGACAAGGATGACCTGCTGCTGTTGAATGAGATCTTCAGTGCTTCCTGCCTGGATGAAGGAGAGTTCAGCAGAGAGTGGGCTGCTGTGTTTGGAGAGGACCGGCTAAAGGAGCCAGCCCCTGAGGGGGCCCAGGGAGAGCCAGAACCCAAGCCCCAGCTAGGCTCTGGATTCCTTCCTTCGCAACTTTTAGACCAAAACATGAAAGATCTCCAGGCCTCTCTCCAAGGTATGTACCACAGTGACTAGAAACTTCTGTTGTTTTGCTTGTTTGCTCCCCCTCCCCCTTTAATGCAAAAGTTTATTTGTTCTTTGTGGTTTTGTCTGAGTATGCTTTCTGTATTTTTACTTTATAGCCAATATCTTATTTTTTATTATTAGTGGTAGTATTTTTTTTGCATCAAGTGACTTTTTAGCTGAACTCTCCAAATCACACCCCAACTTTAAGATGTAGTATCAGGCTCAGTGGGTTTCTCATAATTTTTCCCCTCTGTCAGTACTTTCTTAGGAAAGTTAGGAGAGGTCCTCAACCGTGCTTTCTTGCTCGGGTTTAAGGCAGTTTTGTGGCATGCATGATAGGTTCTTGCCCTTGCAGTTACAACCCTGTGGCCTGGCCACCCCTGACTGCCTGTACCTGCATCTCCCATATATCCATGAGATGTATTCCTGTAACCTACCCTCCTGTTAGGTACTAAGTGGCATTTCACTGGACCTTTTAACTTTGTCTCTTCCTGTGCGTTTTCCTTGTTCTTGCTCTCTCTACACCTTGACCTGTCCCTACTCATGTATGCCCCAATTCATCAGTTCCTGTTCTAACTCCAGCACACAAACTAAACCCCCATGGCAGCCTCAGAGCAGACAGAGTTTCCACCCTGATCAAAAGCGCTCTTCAGTCAGAAGGGTGCAGGGTGCACCCGGGCTCGGCAGCAGGCCACACGCTGGTTGAGCATTGCTGGCGTGTCCCCCACAATGATTCAAAGTGCAAAAACAAAGCTCAGTGGTGAAGTCTTGGGTTTCTAAACTGGTCTTGAGAAGGAAAGCATTTTCTTCTCTGGTGAATTTTCTCTCCCTCGTGTTACATAAATCATGAAGATAGGAATTACTCTTGGTAAGAAACGTTGGAATTCTTTTGGTCTTTCTATGAACTTAAGCTATCTCCCTAATAAACAACATGTTTATCTGGCACTTAAGGTGGAGAAGAAATGGCAGAGCAGGAATGATTAAGTAATTACCGGCTCTTGCAAGCGTAGGTCTTGGGAAATGAGATCATTCATACAGAAGCCAGTGGGCAAGACAGAAAAAAAAATCTTCCCCTTTTTAGAACTACCTTTTCCCTTTTATTTTCCCCGTGAATCCTTTTTTGTAGCTGTCTCATGTGTTAGCAGGCATGGCATTGGAGACCGTGGGGCAGAGAGGATGCTACAAGTGTTCCTCTGCTCTCTGAGTTTCACCTCGTCCTGTCCCTCACTGGGTGAAGCCCAGTGAGCAAGTCTGTCAGCTCTCTTGATGTTTACCCTAACACTCTTGTAGGAGAGGACCTGGCAGGCCGGGGGCACTCCAGCGGCCAGTCCCTCAGCCCACCCCTGTGAGGTTCTGTTGTCCCACGGCTGTGCTGCCAAATGATCCTTACAAGGTCCCCAGCTTTGAAGGCCCTGGTGCCCTGCTGCTACAGCGAGCAGTGGTGACTAACAGTTACTGCAAGAGCGAGAAGGCAGGCCTCAAAGCCTCTTCCTGGACAATGTGTGAAGATCTCTGGTCAGACAGAACCCCAGAGCTGTAACACGGGGTGACTGTGGGCTTTGCGCTTACTTCAGCCTGAGAGGAGGCATCAGACCACTTGTGGGACAAAGGAGGGAGGTGTCCCAACAGTAAGAGAGAGGTGCAGGGTGTGACCTGTGTAGGGAAAGAGGTTCCCCAAAGGGAGGCCATTCATTTCCCAGGCCAAGAGTCTCATTTGGTGCTTTGGCAAGGTGTCCACTCATTAATAAGCACCTTCCGGGTCCCCCTTCATGGAAATGCATCTGTGAACAAAGCAGGCAAAGCTCTCTTGCCTCCCTGGAACTCGGTTTCTAATGGGGAAGAAATACGGAATGATGAACAATGAGAAAATCAACGCAGTAGGTCATAGAGTAATCAGTGATGGGCAGGGGAAAATGGAGCTAGGGAGAGCTGGTGTTGTGGGATGGCAGAGTAGCTACACAGGGTCTTGCTGGGAAGATGAGAGCCAACTTGACAGGATGAGAATTAGCCACGCAGACACCTGGGTGGATAACTTTGGTTGACCCCATAAGGTAAGAACATTCATAGCATGACAAGGTCTGCAGGAAGAACGTTTCTTGGGGCTGACTGGACAAGTGTGAGAGATGCTCCAATATGAAGGACAGACACCGTTGTAGGCTGGTCCATATATTCCGACAGAAGTGTTCACAGGGCCTGTACACACAGGGCAAATCTCCGCTTCCTATCAGCAGCCATGTTGAAAGCCACCATGGCGTCTTTAGCCACCAAATGGTATGATCTGCTTTGTAACTTAACAGCATTATTTTGGTTGTGAGAGGCTCCTTCTTCCTGAGGGCTTATAACAAGACCAATGTAACCCAGTGACTGTGGAGTTTCCTTTGCTTTGTAAATGGGTACCAGCAGGATGCCTCAAGGATTCAAAATATCAAGGAAAAAATGCCTACATGGTTAAAAAACACACACACACACATACATTGTCCACCTCAGCTCCAGAATCTCAGTGAGAGAAGCTTATATGCTACCCAGTGCTGCCCTGATTCACGGAACTTTCTAGATGCACGTGATATAGACACAGGAAGGCTGCTTGCAGTAGCCGAGCACTTTGCAGGCTTCTGTCAGGATTCCTCTCATCTCCAAAATAAGAAAGGATGAATATTAGCCTAAGATTTTTTTCACTGCATCCATAGGTGAATAAAAAGTCCATCTAATATGTATGAATAGTTGTACGTATATAATAGTTTAATGATGACTGTTAACCCTTGGCCACATTATATTAAAATGGATTCCTCTGGTTAACCAGATCATGTCATAATCTGAATTCAGTAACTACTGAACCAGTTAGGAAACTAAACTAAACATGGGGACTTGAGGTAGGTTGGCGTATTGGCTCAGTGACCTGTGTGGGAAGGAGTTGAGTCCAGCTTTTCTTTGCAGTTGACCTCTTCCTCCTCACACTGCAGCAGTGGCAAATCTCTCTGCAGCCTCTGGGTTATTACTTCATATTTCAGTAAGTGAGGTGTCGGTCTAGACTTCTTATCCCAGCAGCATCTTATCTGTGGGTTGACTCTGTCTCTGGGAGGCAAAGGTGTAAAATCAAGTAATTCTGTGACTCTGCCAGCTATAGACGTAAGACAACATCAGCCCATGCTCATGACAGCACACGCTGGGTGCCCAGCACTGTGCCCTCTCCTTACCTATGTCAACTTATTCATTTAACCTGCTGCTTCCCGGGCAAATGCTATCGCTGTCTACACTCTAGAGACTAGAAAACGAAGGAAGGAAGCAGTTTGTTAGCCCAAGGTCACTCTCCTGGTAAAGGCAGCCAAACATTGAACCTGCGCAGTCTACCTAAGGAGCCCATGCCCACCACCAGGACTTCTGTGCTCAGTGCAATATCTGATAGCATAGGTAGCTTTCTCCAGACCCTTCAGGCATCAGCCCCCACAGGAGTATGGCTTATAGTGACTGTGGGTCTCCTGGTTTCACACAGGAATTGGACACCAGGACACCGGGCAGACAACAGGATAATGGAGTTATAGAGAGACAGGGCCCTTATCCAACAAAATCTGGATGATGATCCAGAGCAGACTGTTAGAAACTGGGTAGTCATAGGAGTCTTTATAGAGAACACTTGTACTTTGTTTCACCATCATCCTGGAAGGATTGCGACACCTGCAGGTTCAGGAGGTTGGAGGACAGAGGTGGAGGGCTCTGGGTGCCTCCAGTCCTTAGCGATTCCCATGCTTTCATTCTTCACCTGCCCTTCTCCTCCTCTTTCCCTCCCCCCTTCCTTCTCTTCAGTCTTCCTTCTCCTAGAATGGCTCCTGCCTGCCTTCCCTCTGGCCTCTCCTTTATTCTGTCCTCCAGTCCCAGGAGTGGAAGTGATTCAAAGGAAGACAACAAGTGTGCCTCCCCTCCTGCCTAGTCCAAGCCGTAGGAGTTCACAACCAAAATTACATGTCTGATCAAGTCATTTCAAAATTTTGAAGAATTCATCTTAGCTGAGATTTCCAAGTTTCTGGAGTTATTATCCCGATATGGGGTAGCCTAGTTTGTTTTCTATCTCTGTGATAAAGACCATAATGAAAAGCAACTCATGAATGAAAGGGTTCATTTCATTTTACACACCCACTTGACAGTCCATTACTGAGGGAAGTCATGGCAGGAGCTCAAACGGGAACCTAGAGGCAGAACCAGGAAGGACTACAGCTTACTTACTGGCTTTCATGGTTTCTCTCTCTCTCTCTCTCTCTCTCTCTCTCTCTCTCTCTCTCTCTCTCTCTCTCTCTCTCTCTCTCTCTCTCTCTCTCTCTCTCCTTTCTTCTTTCCTTCCTTTCTTCCCTTCAGTTTAATTTAATCATTAATTTTACATCCTGACCTCATTCCCCATTTTCCCCTCCACCTCTCCTCCCATTCTGTCTTCCATTAATCCACTCCTCCTCCATCTCTGTATAGAAAGGTGCAGGCCTCCCGTGGGTATCAGCAAAGCCTGGCATATCACATTTTGGTAAGGCTAAGCACCTCCCCTTGTATTAAGGCTAGGCAAGGCAATCCAGTGTGAGGAATAAATAGGTTCCCAAGAGCCAGCCAAAGCGTTAGGGGTAGCGCCTGCTCCCACTGTCAGGAGTCCCACGAGTAGACCAACTTCCTTATAAAACCCAGGACCCTCTGCCCCAGAGTAGCACCATCCACAGTGGGCTGGTCCCTCCCACATCAGTCATTCCTCAATAAAATATTCCCCTGAGCATACCCACAGGTCACTCAGAAGGTGGCGGTTCCTCAGCTCAGGGACCCTCTTCCTAGGTGACTCTAGTTAGTAGTAAATTGATAAAAACTAAACAGCACATGTGGCTAGGACTTCCTGTACCCATGAAAAGATGAGAAAATTATGCCTTCCTGGGGTTTCTAAATATGAGTAGACAAGCCAGCCAGAGAGTGCTGACCAAGCAGATACTAAGGAAGGTTTGGAGCATTTTCAATGTTAAAAAT